AAGCGAAAATTGTAAAAGAAAAAAAAAAGTTCAGATATACACTCCAAATTTCTAAGAAAACTCTGAATTTTCTAAGAACGCATCAAAACATACAAAGAGAAAAAAAAGGGGCTGAAATGCTGATCAAAATTTTAATTATAATAGCTCAGGATATTAGTTTTGTATATATTATATGCATCTCATAATAAATTTAATACTTCTAAAAATTCACTCTGACACAAATTTGTTCCATAAAAAACAGACTCAGCTGCTCATGCTGAGCTCAACGGGAAATTATTGAGTTTGGTCACCGGACACAGCTTATCGTTCGGAGACCAATCAGGTCCAACCACGTATCCAGTATCAAGCAATACCGAGCTCGGTAATGAACAATACCGATCTCAGTACCGAGTAGGGGGTGATGTGGCGCATTTTCATTGGGCTCCGCACGGCGTCCTGTGACCGAACCCAATAATTTCCTGAGCTCAACACCTCTGACGCTTAGCAGCTGGCGCAGCAGCAGAGGAGGCAAGAGCAAATGACACCTTTTGAGGAATTGCTTGCATTTGCTGCTGCTCAGCATCTGTCCTCTGTTCAACAGAAGAGTTAGGGTTAGAGTTAGTGTTAGGGTTGGGATTGGGCTTCGTACCTTCTTCATCCTCCTCAGTCTCCTCAATTTGTGCGAGATGTTTCTTAGGTATCAAGAGCTGATAGTTAGGGCTAACGAGTGTGTCCTGCTCAGGTGGCAGTGGGATAGAACCAGGTGGTGCGATTGTCTTGGGCAATGGCGTCTTGTTTCTGGTACGAGCAAGCTCAAGAAGAACCTGAAGAAGGGTTTACTCACTACCAAGGTTTAAAAAATGTTGAAGAATGGAAAAATACATTTGGAATGGAGCACAATGAATCAATAAACTTTTAAACAAAGAAATCTTGATGAATTTGATACGAAACACTTGTAGATCTCACATATTTCCAATCAATCTTCGAAGAACAGCGAGATTTCTCTACAAAAATCCACACAAAACCACAAAAACAGTAGATAATTTGTATTATTTGATGAAAAGGAAACAGAAAATAGCAAGATACAATTAATCCTCTATTCGAGAGGAGGATCGATCTCTCCCAAATCCCTAGACGCCGCTAGAGCCCAAAAGAAAACCTAAATCT